GTTTCCAAAACATTCACTCAGAAATACAGTAGGAATTGACTCATATATATGACTACTTTGTGATAATATTATTTTGGTGAAGGGTTTGACATTTAATTTTGATTGTGGCTAAATACAAATGTAACCCAAGCCCCAAAGCCTGTCGGTATGCTATTCTTTCCTTCTTGGTGGATATCAATGCCCCACACCTGCATGAGGGGCAGGGTGGAGTTCCCATAAGTGGGAGAGAAGAGAGACCTAGTCTTTTCAGGTTCTTCTGTCTTCCAGCTTTGAGAGAAGATGTATGTTCCAGTCTCTCCTTAGGTCATTGAAGGGAGAGAAAGACTCAGGAAAGAAGCTGACATAGAGAACTTCTATCCTGTCCTTATCCACAGCTTGTTACATTAGAGACTTCAGGGAATTTCCCTTTTGGATTAGATCTGGCACACTTTCTCTTGGTTGAGCTAAGTTATTTCACTCCTAAAGGGATCACTCATTCAATATATTTTTTTTCTAATATATGTTCTTATACACATACTTTCTCTGATTTCTGTTTTGCAAACAATTTGGATAAATGGGCTTCTTCGCTATGTGCTATGTGTGTTCATTATGGAGTCAGCATTTGGTAAGGAGTCAAGCCTTGGATATAAAGCTTGGGGTCTCCTTTCTCCTTTAAGTAGAGATCAGGAGTTTAGCTTAAACCTTCAAGTGACTTTCCCTAGACTACTAGTAATATTCAAGGGAGTAGACAGATATAGTACTAGTTTGGTACCCCTTCTCTCTGACAAGAGTGTAGGGTCTAGGCTCCCCTCCTGGAAAGGAACCAAAGCCTCCATTGGAGAAGAGTATGGACGGGAGATGCTTCCTATTCTGGTCTCCCTAGGAGACACTTACACATGACGCCCCATATTACACAAACAAATAAAATCTCTGGGGTTGTTATGTATTAGTATGCATGGCTTTCAAGGGAGTGACGAAAAAGAGACAAGTCTCTCTCAGTGTTAGGCACTTCATTCCATGCAACAGACTTGCCTCTTCCTAAAGACATAAAAACTTATTTAATAGTATTTATTTGTCAACAACCTTCACTGCATGCTGAAAATTAACAATGACATTTATATATCCCTTGGTGCAGAATTTAACAAGCCAATTGAAAACTGTTCAAATTAAGTCTATATACACAGAGACAGCTCACATGACCCAGAATTATTTCATATTTTTTAAAGAAGAGAAATGTTTGAATGCAATTTTCATTCATTCATTTATTTATTTTTACCAATTTAAAGTTTGAGAGCATTGTTGTTAAGTTGTTTCAGTCATGTCCTCCTGACTCCAAGGCCAGAGCTCTATCCACTGCACCACCTAGCTGCCCCCAGCACATCTCTTCTAAGGAGCTCAGTTTCTCAGCTTAAGAGATGGGACTAAATGACCTCTAAGGTCTTTCCAGTTCTAAAATTCTATGAACCTATACAGATAAGGAAAATGGAAGATTCCTAATCAAGGAGAAGAGGAACATGAGGGGCATTTGATTTTAATCTACCACTCATTTTTTATGTCTTCCCTCATTTAAAAATTTTAGGAATACTGTACCATAAAGCCAAAATTGTTAATACTTACAAGTACCACTCAGAGCCAGTGTTTGCAGAACACCTATTCAGAATAAAGTTCACTCACTCAGTCAGCCAGCTGGGGTTTAAGCATTATTTTTTGACCTTCCTGCCTTTTAACAAAGGCAGGGAAGTGGATAAAGGGAGATAAAGGGGAGGAGTGGTAGATTTCAAGGTATCCCATGGACACAAAGGGACTGGTAGAGAACGAGGGGGAAAGAGATCATAACTAAATGGATTCAACCAGTTGAATCCATCCAGGAAGTCAATTTGTGCAACCAACCAGAAAAGAAGCTCTTTTTACAACCTCTATTCTAATTTTACTTGTTTTGTTGACATCCTTGAAGATATACTACTACACGTCCGTCTGCAAGTAAGGGACAAATAGTACCTAACTCCATACATCTCTATTGAGATTTATTCCAGATAGATACTTTTGTGTGTTTTATTTCTAGGACACAGAGATGACAAGAGTGATCTGCCACCCTTCAGAAGTCTAACATTATGGGAGAATACCCAACTTGTCAATTCGATTCAATGAATAGCAAGCACTCCAAGTCTAGGACTCTTTTCATCAGGCCATAAACCTAAGGACAAACATGCAGTGACAGAAAAGACAGACGTGTCTTAGACCAGAGGTAGGTATTATGACTGAGAACTAAAAGTATTCAAGGAGTTCATGCCATGATTGTGAATAGTCTTATTGGGATCCATGAGGCTTGTGTCCAGCTCTTTGTGACCTCCTGTGGGGTTTCCTTGGCAAAGATACTAGAATGATTTGCCATTTCTTTCACCAGCTCATTTTCCAGATGAGGAAACTGAGGCAAACAGGGTTAAGTGTCTTGTTCAGGGTCACACAGCTAGTGTGAGACTGGAATTGAACTCAGGAAGATGAGTCTTCCTAGAGGCAACTAGGTGGCCCAGTAGATAGAGCACTGGCCCTGAAGTCAGGAGGACCTGAGTTCAAATCTGGCCTCAGACCAAACACTTGACACTTACTAGCTATGTGATCCTGGGCAAGTCACTTAACCCCAATTGTCTCATCAAAAAAAAAAAAGATGACTCTTCCTAACTTTAGGGCCAGCACTCTACCTACTATGCTACCTAGCTGCCCAGAAAAGGTTCTCAAACCACTCAACGCTTCATTATAGACTTGGTCAACAGGAAGAGGGAGAGTCTAAGTGGGTCATTTCATAACTCTTTATTAATAATCATATCTTCCATTTGTCTAGCATTTTATGCTTTTCAAAGCAGTTTCACATGCATGATCTCATACGATCTTCAGAACAATGTTGTTAGGACATAAATTACTAGCCAATTTAATGGATGAGAAAACTTAAGGGAACTTAAATGGCTTCATACAGTCGATCAATAATTATTTACTAAGCGCTATACAAAGACAAAAATTAAACATCTCTAACTTGAAAGAGTTTACATTTTTTTGGAACGTAACAACTCAGTGGTAGAGCTAGGTCTGTTGTCTCTACACCAAATCCTAGAAAGGTTGCCTTCAACATGGAGCTTACCCTCACCCCAGATTAATACATACTCCAGACTAATAATAGCTGCTTGAGTGTTTGTAGGAAAGTAATTTACTCTCTTAGGGAAGAGCCAGAGTATTAGGTTCCCAGATAGGACTATCTTAGTGGGAGAGGGGGATGACTACAAAATGAGCAATAAAGGCAAAAAAATTATGCTTGAGAACCCCATTATAGGATCCCAGATCTAGTGTGAGAAAAGACCTTTGAGGTCATCTAGTTCAGCACTTAAACTATGGGTTGCAATGCGTAATTGAAGGTGGGGGTTGCAAAAAATTTGACAATAGTAAAAGGTTTCTGAACGTGCAATGACCAGAAATTAATTCAAAATCAAATGTGTAATGAATCCGAGGTGTTTCTGGCAGCACTTGCCCGTGTTGCATCGCACAACTTTGCTACAGCCTTGGTTCTGAACACACAACATGAGCACTTTGCACTGTGCATGCTGTCACACCACTCAACGCCTCGACTCAGATTCAAGACTATTGTCTTTAATAAATGGTAAGATTATATGTATACCAAAGAATTGTTTTAAAATAAATTTCTTTATGATTTATTATCAGTAAATGTTTGATTTCTATACCTATTTTTATATTCCTATACACCTGGGGTCATGTAAAAATTTCTCAGGAGAAAAGGGGTTGTGAATGGAAAAAGTTTAAGCAGCACTGATCTAGTTCAATCCCTTCATTTTATATTTCACAGTTGAGGAAACTGAAGCCCAGTGAGTTAAGTGATGTGCCCAGTGTCACATAAGTAGTATCAGAAGCAGGTTATGAAACCAAATCCTCCAACCCCAAAGTCAGTGCTCTTTCCACTGTACCATCCTGTTCTCTCGTTGTCAGGACAGGACTCCAGTTATGGTCAAGAGGGCTATGAATGTTTTCTGTTTTTCTTAATTTCAGAATTTAAATCTAGAGTTGGCTATAGTGGGGAAAATCAGCGATGGAAGGCAATGACCACCCAGTGGGATCAAGACAGAGGAAGAAAGAGTCTTCTAAAATGGCCTGAGTGCTTATGGAGAAGGAAAAGCTACCAATACTTGGCGTAATAATTGACAGATGACCGACAAACCTTGCCTTTTTACTTTTCCTCCTTCAGTAGTCACGGTCATAGGATCAGGGTCAAAGTTGTGAAGAAATATAGTCATCTCATTCTTTGAGAAGCTGGCAAGCATTTTATTTGTTTGGGGATTACGGGTTGGTCATGTCAAAGCTGCTTAAAGCCTTATCGTTAGAAATACCCTTCAAAATGTTTCAGGATTCTGACACCTTTGGTAATTAAAGTTATTAATTTTCCTTGTAACAAAAGATCTAATATTGGGAGTGTCACTAGAGTGCACTATCTGCACTACTCTAAAACACAAGGTGCAGAGGGACATTTTCACACAACAGATTGTTTGGCGGTGACTGAAAAGTAGGGCACTTTGTTTTTTTAGATTATCAGAAAGGATGATAGCTATAAATTCAGGAGGATAGCTAATGTGATGTTCCTAACATTAATACTTAAAAAAAATGAATTGCCTCTCTAAAATTCATAAAATATCTTATGAGAATGAACAAATAAAGAACTTGACACTGACCTTAAATTTCCAGCTACATCTTAATGGGCACAATTTAAGTTTTCCACATTCAGTTCAATCAACTCTTTGTGGGCCCATTTGGGGTTTTCTTGGCAAAGATACTGGAGTGGTTTGCCATTTCCTTCTCTAACTCATTTTATAGATGAGGAAACTGAGGCAAATAGGGTGAAGTGACTTGCCCAGAGTCACACAGCTAGTAAGGGTCTAAGGCTGGATTTGAACTTGGGTCTAGTTTTCCACAAATAGTATAATTGATGTTGGATACATATCTGAGGTTTGGTCTTTTTTTTTTTTTTAAGTTGTGTCAGGGGCACCTTGGTGGTACAGTGGATAGAGCTCTGGCCTTGGAGTCAAGAGGACCTGAGTTCAAATCTAACCTCAGTCACTTGACACGTATTACCTGTGTGACTCTGGGCAAGCCACTTAACCCCGATTGCGTCACAAAAAAATAGAAAAAAAAGGTCATATGTCTTACTAAAAATGGTGCCTCTGCTTACATTACACCAAAAACTATAATACAAAATCAATGTTTTAGTTCATATGGGTTAAAGAAGGTTTGATCTCTATTGTCTTCTGGATTAACCATATTTTAAACTTATTGAATAGAATTGCTGTAATGGTAAAGAAGATCTCTGAACTGTAGGATTGCAAACCAAATATAACATTTAAGCATTACTGTTGTTTAAATGATATCTATTAGTTTGGGACAATTGGCATCTTAAACAACTAAAAAGTATGAAAGAACACAAGGGCCACATTTGGCTAAATGGTTAATTTAGTTTTCCATTCCTGCTTTTACCATGGTATCTTGGAAGAGTCCCTCAGAATTCTTCAAAATAAAAAAACCAAAAGATTCTACTCTTTGTACATAAAGATGCAACTTACTTTCTGTTCACGATTAGCCACTCCCGAATATATGTCTGAACACAGTCCCTGACGTGGGGATCCAGTTCAACCCTGAGGAAATGGAAAATGAAATTAAAACATGTCATTAATTGGAAAAAACATTGCCAGGCCTGAGGATAAGATGATTCCATAAACACAATGTCACCCAACTCAGTGTCTTCTCCCAAATTTATTTCACCAGTTGTGGACCATTTCTGAGGGAAGGCAGAAGGAAACTTAACAAGACAACATTTCATCATTTGGGGAATGCTATTAATTTTAACACCCATGTTAACTATACTTATTCCTGTAGACATCCTGGTGTGAGACAGAGGAAAGAAACTGTGAACAAATACTGAAAAAAAATTAAAAAGCCATAATAACCCATTTTGGGGTTGAGTTAGACTAAGTTGGAAATCTTTTAAACTACACTAAGCTTTGTTAGGATCTACAAGTTTTGTTTTCTTTAAAAAGTTGTGAAGAAATATAATCATCTCATTCTTTAAGAAACTGGCAAGCATTTCATTTGTTCAGAGACTATTAAATCTGGTTGGTTATGTCAAAGCTGCTTAAGGACTTATCATGAGAAATACCCTCCAAATACTTCAGGATTCTGACACTTTTGCTAATTAAAGTCATTAATTTTCCTTGTAACAAAAGATCTAATAATGGGAGCCTGACTGGAGAAAAATGGCACTATCTACACTGCCCTAAACACAAGGTGCAGTGGGACATTTTCACACAACAGATTGTTTGGCAGTGACTGAAAAGTAGGGCACTTTGTTTTTTTAGATTATCAGAAAGGGTGATAGCTATAAATTCAGGGGGATAGCTAATATGATGTTCCAAACACTGATACTAAAAAAAATGAATTGCCTCTCTAAAATTTCATAAAATATCCCGTGCTATATAAGCAGCATCTGAATTAATTTGAAGACATTCTCAAGAAGGCTTTTCATCCCATTAATTCCTTTTGAGGAAAATTAACTATAAACCTTTATACAAAAGAAATAAAAAAGTAAATGATTCCCTACCATGGGTGAAAATAATAGCAACTATCCATATTAAATTCATAGCTCAATAAATGAACTGACAATGGGGTAAAGCAGATGATATGGACCACAATCTGTCTGCTCCTCAGGAAATAACCATTTCCAAAATATTACAGAGGGTTTCTGAAGAAGTATGTCAAGCAATCTGGCGGTATGAAATCATTAAAAAAAAATCAAACTCTTTGACCCCAAAATTCTTTTGTTTGGAATATAGTCTGAGAGTGTTATCAAAAACAACTGAAAAGGGAACTCTGGGTTTAAAGATTTTCATAGCAGCATTGTGTATAATTAGAAAAACAAACACAAACCAAAACACTGAAAACAGCCATGATGTCCAACAATGGAGGAAAGGCTAAGCAAATTGTGGGACGTTAAGGTAACAGAATTCTATGATGCTATATTAAGACTGACAAATATGAGGAATGAAAGTACTTTGGAAAGATCTTCATGAAATAAAAGCACATTTTTAAAAGCAAAACTAAAAGAATAGAGTGTACACTAATTACAATCATATGAGGAAAAGTAAATGAGGATAGATGAACACAGAATCCTAATGGGAACTTAAAGGGAGGGATTTAACTGTTAAGATATTTTAAACATTGTAACTAATTTAAATATAGTTACTATACAAGTTTAGTTGCCTAGGGTACTATTCAATGTCTCTAATAAGATACTTAAAACACAAAATTAGATAAAGTTTACTACAAATGAAACCCATTAGTGTGAATGACAATTGTATATTTTGCAAATTCAAAATTCAAATATTTTGATAACTGAGAGCAAAAGATGATGAAGCAAATAGTTACACTCACCAACCCCATCAGGCTGTAATTGAATAAAATCTAGGACAGGCATTCTGATCCTACCAATATTAGGTAAGAAGTTGTACTTCTCAGTCTCAAATCTGAGTCTTTTTGGTGGAAGGTGAGAGGAGTAGGAAAGTTGAAATGTACCCTCCTCTGATATGAAGAAGATAAGAGCCTTTACTCCATTGGTAAAATGTAGGATGCATCTAATCAAAATATGATATCCATCATACATAAGGAAACAACATGAGTCCAAGGTGTCCCAAAAGTTTTAGTTCGGTTTTAAGTTTTAATAACTTCAGAGGTATAAATGCTATCAACTTATAAAAAATAACATTTGAAAAGTTAATTATTATTGATAGGTTTCTTGTTAAAATTCAACATAACCACCATCTTGTGCTATACATTGTTCTAGTTCATTTTTGAACTTGGTAAAAATTTTATCAGCTGCTGCTTAATGACTGAAAGAATTACACTTGTAATCCTGGCCTTATGATCATCTAAAGCACAAGGTTTTAATACATATAAGACAGCTTTGATGTGACCTCACAAGAAAAAAAATATAATGGAGATACATCAAGTTACTGAAGTGGTCAAACAAGAGGACCTTCTCAACCAATCCGCAGGGCTGACAAAGAGTCATCCAGAAACTGGTGCATGTGATGCATGCACCATGCATGCAGCTAGGTGGCACAGGGACAGAGTGCTGAGCCTAGAGTCAGGAAGACATCTTTCCTGAGTTCAAATCCAGCCTCCCACTTATTAGCTGAGTGACTCTGGACAAGTCTCTTAAGCCTGTTTGCTTCAACATTCTCATCTGTAAAATAAGATGGAGAAGAAAATGGCAAACCACTCCAGTATCTCTGCCAAGAAAACCCCAAATGGGGTCACGAAGAGTTGAACATGACTGAAAAACGACTAAACAACATGGTGATAAAAATTTTGAATTTATTATTCAAATTCAGAGAACTAAATGGATATTAAAAATTAAAATAACTAAACTTTCAAGCAATGTTTTTGTAAGTTTGCAGCGTTTACATTTCCAAAGTTATTAATGCTTAAAACTGCTCTAAAACTTTTGGGACATATAATATTTAAGACCCATTTCCTAGTGATTAAAGGGGCAGATATTGTTGGGCTTGAAGTCAGGAAGACTCATCTTCTTGAGTTCAAATCCAGCCTCAGACATTTACTACCTGGTGACCCTGGGCAAGTCACTTCCTTATCTGTAAAATGAGCTGGAGAAGGAAATGGCAAACCACTCCAGTATCTTTACCAAGAAAACCCCACAAAGGGTCACAAAGACTTAGACACAATGTAAATGGACTAAACCAAAAGAAAAAGGAAATGAACAAATAATTTTAAAAAGAAGACTTGCAAACAATCAATAACCATATAAATAAGTCACTAATCATAAATCAATAATAATCAGAGAAATGAAAATTAAAAGAACTCTGAGAGTTCACCTCAAACACTTCAAATCAGCAAAAATGATAAAAAAAATTAGTTGATGTGGAAGGGGCTGCAGGAAAGCAGACCAACTAATATCCTGTTGGTGGAGTTATGAATGAGTCCAACCATGTCATATAATAATTTGGAATTTTGTGAGAAAAGTCACTTAAATGTTCATATCATTTCACTCAGCAATTCCATTATTTGGCAGGAAGAAAAGCCCCATGTGTAGCAAAATATTCACAGCAAGATTTCTTGTGGTATCAAAAAATGGCAAACAAAATGGGAAGTCAGTAATTGGAGAGCTGCTAGTGGTATATGAATATAATGCAATATCATTGTGCCAAAAGGAATGACCAGTATGATGAATTTAGAGGAGGACACCTGTATGAACCATGAGCTAAGCAAAGTCAAGTGAAAAATATACACAATGACTATAATAACAACCGAAAACAACCCTCAAAGGCAGCTGAACTCTGATTAATTGTAATGACTATCTTAGCCTCAGGGAACAGATGATCAAACACTCTTTCTTCCTTTATGAATAGAGGTGAGGGATTATGGGTGAAGAACACGGGCATATATTATCAGACAGTCACTAGATGTAAATAACTAGGTACATAACAAGATATATTAAA